TTGGGGACCAAGCACAGACACGGCGGAAAAAGGCGCGAGGAAAAAACAAAAATGAATGCCCGGAGTGGGGCACAGAGGTGTGAAGAGTAGAATCTAAGAAGGAGAAGGCAGAATAAGCGAGGTGGGAAACCCAATGTGTCACAAGGAGAGGGGCGCTGCACTCCCTAGAAAGCATGGGGGTTGAAACCCAACGAATGCAGGAAATTTATGAGGTGTGATGAGAGGCATGGGGGGGAGGGGAAATTTGATGTTGAAACCAGATGAGCGCAAAAAGTTGTTGAAAGACAAGCGGGGGAACCTAGACATTGAAACTAAGTTGAGATGCATGCGAAAAATTGTCAGGAACCCAGAGGCGAAGTCTTGAGACCAAATGAACGAATGCAGGAATTAACTGAGAGGTAACAGGGGGGAAAACCTAGATATTGAAACCAGGTGTATGCCCCCAAGTGGGGCACCTTCACACAGCTTGACACCAAGTTGAGCCCCTGCGCAACTGAAAGTCCGAAAGTGGTGTGAAGGGTCGAAATTGAGAAAAGGGTAGAATGGGAAGGAGGTGAAGAACCCAATGTGTTACAAGGAGAAGGGCGCTGCACTCCCTGGAGGGCATACATATTGAAACCCAATGACTGCAGGAAATTAAAGAAGTGTGATGAAAGGCACAGGGGGAAAGTTAGATATTGAAACCAGGTGAGCGCAAAAAAATGTTGAGAGACAGAAGAAGGCAAAATATTGAAACCAAATGCATGCGGGAAGTTGCTGAGAGGCACATGGGTGCAGGATAAATTCGGATATTGAAACAACGTACACGCAAAAAATTGTGGAGAGGACAACGGGGGGAAACTTATATATGAAACCAAATGGATGCAGGAAATTGAGATTACCCTCGGGGGTGAGACATTTAAATATGAAAGCAAGATGAGGGCAGTCAGTTGCTGAGAGATGACGCGTGCAAGAAGTTGTGGAGAGACGAGCGGGAGAAACCACATGAATGCAGGAAGTGGCCGAGAGGCACAGGCGCGCGACAACTTTGGAATACTGAAACAAGAGGCTTGCAAGAAATTGCAAGGAGGCCACGGTGGTGCCACATATGAAACGAAATGAATGGAGAAAATTGTGGAGGGGCACTCGGAGGGGAAATGTAGATATTGAAACAAGATGGACGCAAAAAATTGCAGAGATAGATATTGAAACCCAGCAAATGCAGGAAATGCAGGACGTTTGATGGGGGGCAGAAAGAGAGGAAATTTAGATATTGAAACCAGATGAATAGTTCCCAAGTGAGGCACTTTCACCCAGGTTGACACCAAGCGGAACCCTTATGTAACCGAAGAAAACCGGACGAGGTGTGAAAAGTAAGAATGGAGAAGAGGGCAGAAAGGGAATTGAACGACACGGTGTACTGAAATGCTTCCTGCCATGTGGCATGCTAGCGCAGCTCTAGCCCCCACTGTCTGAAGAATTGCGACCAAGACGCGGCTTGGAGAATCTATCCAAAGGGGGTTTGGCCTGGGGAAGGGCCAGGTCCAGCAGGAGGGCGCGCAGGTCAAGGAGGAGGGCGCGCAGGTCAAGCAGGAGGGTGTGCAGGTCCAAAAAACGGTAGCCATCTCCAAAGAAAAGTAGTAAGGCTCATGAAAAGTCGCCAGGACCAAAAGCAATGGAACGAGGTCTGAATTTTTTTTCCCCTTTGTTGTCCGGATGTTGGCTGACCCATTTTATAAACAATTTTTTTTGACAAAATTATTTGCAAAGCATCCTAGAGCACAAGTAGGTGGTATCCGAAAACTAGTTTCTGCTAGCTGAGGTCCCTCTTGCTTTAGCAAGGTTGTGGGGGGGCTGGGATCTGCAATTGCGAAACGTTTCTCAGCTAATTACCCCTCCCCTCCTCGGCTGGTCCACAAGCACGTTGGCGGCGGGCTCAATCCTGCTTGGTCATCAACATGAGTGACATCAGCAACCATTCAGTGTGTTTCTGCCAGAATCGCCGTAGGCTCCGGCAACAAACTCCAGTGATGCACGGGCTTACGGTGGTGTCAGGAAAAGGGTTCACGTAAAAAGAAAAAAACTATGACAATTCCTTCAATGGAATAGCCATCCAACCTTTGTTGATGATTCCCGAAGTTGGATGTGGAGAGCGTCGATCTGTTACAGTGAGCGCATGACACTGCATCTATAACAGTAGGGAAAAATTTCACTCACACACATGCTCACAGCTACGCCAAGTATTACAAACACCCCAAAAAACGGCATTGGTCGGTTGTGATGTCCCTATCTTTGGATCGAAGCGATCGAATCCCGCGGCGGAGGTGGCGCGCGTCGCACAGTGGCATGAAGTTTGCAGGGATGACATGTGCACAACACCGTATGTCAAACGAAATGCCGCAACAGCACCCCCAGAATGATAATTTTCAACAGGATGTCGTAGGATTCTGGATTAAAATGAGCAATAGTATGGAGGTGGTACGGTCTATGAAGTCGAAGACAACATATGAATCATAGTTGACCAATTTCCCCATTCGGGCGTGGAGTTCAAAGTGAACTTCGCCGCAAACACCGTAGCCATTTTGGCTCAAGCGGAACACACAAACCATGTCGGTCCAAGTGCCCGCGGACAATACGGAGTTGGTAGTCGATACATTCTACGCTGACATTCCGTACGCCTTTGATGAGGTGGAGACGATTGTGATTGCCACCTTGCAAGAAGAGACTTGCATTTTGCAGGGGTGCTTCAGCCAATTAGCATTTGGCAAACCAATCGAACCAGTGTTGGCTGCATTGCTTCCAAATCTTGGACGCTATGTGGCTGAGCGATCTTATGGAGCAAGGTACCAGAGGTCTCTGTACGTGAAGAGGGCTTTTGATCAAGCCACGACCATCGGAGCCAATGCTGCTGCCCACGTTTTCCTCAGAGTCAATATGCCAATATTGAGTTGCCCTTTTGGGATAGGCCAAGATTGGCCGGTCTGGGAGAGATCTACAACTACTCGAACAGGTACAGGCCAGTGACGATTCGGAACCACGCAGGGAGCGTTCCTCCGAACGTGTCCTATATGCAGATGCATGAAGAACACGAGACAAGCATCAGCAAATTGTTCAAAATCCTCCAGATCCCAAGCTTCCTCTATACCAGAGATAATGCAGTGAAGAGTTCTAGCAATTACTACGTGCTGTCAGCATCGAATCCATTGCCCAACAACGCTGCTGGTGCTTGGCCTGCGATGCCTGCAGTTGCATTGATGCCCGGAGCTCTTCAGATGACAAGGGATATGTCTGCACTCTCACAGAATGTGTATGGCAACAAAGACAATGTGACGTCGTTCACAGAGCATGCAATCTTTGGAACCTTTAGGCATTCATAGCCCAGTGGTCTGCCCTCCTCACCCATGCTGCACAAACGGCCTTTGCCCAAGGAGGTTCCTCTTCCAAGACGCCGCGACGTCCTAGATTTGACGTCAACAATTCCGGCTCCTTCTCGGCTCCCTCCGTAGCCAAGGAGCACCCTTCCCCCCTCCCTCGTTTTCACCCCCTCTCCCCCTTCCTGGATTGTGCACAGCTGGACCCTGGCCAGTAAAAAACAGGATTTCGTTTCACCTCCAACCACGCGGAAAAAAGGTGTGCGGAAAAGAAAAATATTCAAACAGACGCTGGCCACATATGGGCCTGGTGCAGTAGTTGTGACGACGAATACGTGCATGAGAGCGGCTTGCAAAGGTTGCGTGAAATTCACAATGTTTCGTGGGAGTAGTTGTTGGGGTCGTCAGTGTATCACATCCTTGCTGAGGCCATATGTCTCATTCAGGATGTGGCTGCGTCGCTGGTAGTGTTGCCCATTTGGCCAAGTATTGTGCAAACACGTTGGCAAACCGTGCGGGCTTGCGAATATCGTCTCGCAATTGTGCGCTGGGGGTCAGCCGCTGTGCTCCGGGCTTGTTGCGCAGTTGTGGGAGCAAAAAAAAGGTTCTTGGACCCGCACGTGGAATTTAACTTTCGTTTGTTTCGCATCTGTTTCTTTTCTTGGTGTTTTTTCCTTCTTCTTCGTTCTCGCCTTCCTCCTGAGTCCCTGCTTTGCCTCAGGAATTGGTTCACCGTCCGCCCCTGCACCTTGGCTTCGTTTTTTTTCCACGCCACTGTTTGTTCCCGAGTGCGTAGCTGAGGCTGTGTTCGCTGGACGTTGCGTTTGCGTTCGCAGCCGCCCGCAGCTGCCCGCAGCCGTCCGCAACAGTCTTCGCGAGGTTGTTATGGAGGGGAAGGGGGATATATTTTTTTTTTACACGGTTTTCTGGTGGTTATCTCCGGTTGTGTTTTCTGATTTACAGCACATGATATCATTGTAAAATCCGCACAGGTGCCCCCGTTGAACCACTACACTTCCGTTAAAAAAATCCGCACCAAGGCACGACTGAGCAAACATCACTGTAAAATCACGAGCGCCATTCCAAACAACATCATTTGAAGACATCAAAAAGTCAGAAGAACAACATGTTTTGGTTTCAACCCCGGAATAAAAACACTCATACATACTGAAGAAATTGCGCGCCGCGTTTAGTTTTCTTAGAAATTCGAAGGGCTTCTGAAATTCCAGCAGGGGATTGCACGAACAATTCTATATGGAGAGTTGTGCGAAAGTTATTCTGTAGTGGAATTTAGATCCAAAAACATCCAAAAACAAATTTATTCCAAAATCAAGACTGACGGCTTGACCTGTAAAATATTTCAGGGGATTTGTTGCATGCATGTCGTTCTTAGAAACCAGTGCGTCAGTTGTTGTGTGGGGAAATGTTCCGAAATTGCGTTTGCTTCACCAATCTGCCACTTGCAGGTTAGATTTGAATAGTTTGTGAATGTTTCGGCGAAAACCAATGATATATATCCATATGATGGAGGAAAAACGAAACAAATCACCTTGCTTACCCAGGTGTATTGGAAGAAGTGCCGCAAAAACAGTTTACCAATCTTTCCATGGAACCAAAACATATCGACTAATCAATTACATCGGCCGCTGTGCCCTTCGCCTTTGTAGTCTGTATTCATGGAGCTGATGGACGAGGAAGAGAGGCCGGACAGTTGCAGCATGATTTGTTGAAACGCTCTTGAAACAGAGGACAATCTCTGAAACCAGCCCGCGCACACAATCACGGAAGTTAATGGCTGTCGAAAACGGGGTGTATAATGCTCGACATAATTGAACATGTTTTCAATTTGATCATTGCGAGGGCCAAGTTGCAAGGTTATGTCAATGCAAAATTCAGCACGCTCGGTTCGCAGGCAGCGATGGTGGCTGTCAGTCATGCAACAAGCTGTAGCCAAGCGCTTGGCGGGAATGTTTGGTTGTGGCTTACAGTGTCAAAAATTCGAGCATCACGTGGGCCATCAGGGACCCACAAAATCATATTTACCAATATTTTTGAGGCAGCACATTTTGAAAACATGGGCATTCCCAGAAAATCCGGTGGTTGGCATTGATATAGTTCCTATTTGCACGAACATGTACTCACCAAGGCCACCCAAAGCGATTATGGAGACGATAGCTCGAGCATCCTCGAAAGAGGGAGGTGGAGGGGGTTCGGGTGATTCATGCGCAGATGTTAATCCCCTCTGCAATCTGCCAACATGTTGGTCTTGTCCCACATGTGCATACATGTTTTGCTTATGATCATGGTTAACCAGTTGCGATTTTGTGATGGGCCGAGATCAACGAACTGGCATCCAACCTGCCCCGATGGGTCAGGAATGGATTGCAACCTTTTCTGTCAATCCTTGAGTCAATGAGGATGTGCTGGGGTAGAGCAGAGGCATACAACAGAATACAACCGTTTGTCGCTCAATAATATCCTGTTGTAATTCGATCCCCTTCTATAGATGACATGGTGCCCATGACGGCCCATTATCCCTCGGCAAGTTGTAGCGCCCTCACAACACCTTGACAATTCTATTTAGTAGGGGCATGACGCCAAAAAGGGCGCAGATGTCAAGTTTGTAGCAAATTTATGGGGTGGATTGTATCCCAAGGTTTGCGAGACAGCAACAATATATATAGAATTATTTCCCGCACAACCGCACGGTTTCCCTCAGTGTAGCTGTACCATGAAACCAAATCAAATCGCTAAAGTAACGCTTGATGCCAAATAAAAATCCCAGTATTTCAGGCGGCTCAAAACAAAATTTATTTTCTGAAGAGTTGCGGCGGGCCATTAATTCTACATAATTCCGCGTAGGTTTGCTTGTAACTTGTAACTAATTTCAACACACAACCTCGCATGGCATTCAAATGAATTTCCCTTCATGCCCTTCACATTGAACATTAATTATTTCTTATCTAATTTCAAGAACGATGAAAAACATGTTCTTTGATGATCCAGCACGGGTAGGTACATATGACACTTTCTATTGGTACGGTACGGTGGGTACGGAGTTTTGGTACACTGGTACAGTCTCTTGGTACGGTGGGTACGATGGGTATGGTACGGTGGGTACCGTCGGTACGGTACAGACGGTACGATGGGTACCGTACACACCCACCATGCCCACCGTACCAAACCACCGTACCACCGTACCGCCGTACCACCGAACGACCGTACCACCGTACCACCGTACCACGGTACCACCGTACCCACCGTACCCACCGTACCATGCCCACCGTACCGTGCCCACCGTACCGTGCTCACCGTACCGTGCCCACCGTACCGTGCCCACCGTACCATACCCACCGAACCCACCGTACCCACCGTACCCACCGTACCGTGCCGTACCGTGCCGTACCCAACGTACCGCACCATCGTACCCAACGTACCGCGCCCTCATCATTTTTTAGGATTGACCCTTCCACCGTATCCTTCCACACAGCATTACTTTTGAAATTATATAAACTATTTCCATATATTTTCATTAAAAAAACAATGACATCCCGATGGGCCTTTCGCGTTTCTCGCGGGAACTGCCCCATCCCCGGCTTGTATCAGGGCGGCAGCCCGGCGCCGCGGCGACGGCGAGAGCTTTGGAGCCTCGAGCCCTGGGTCCATGATGTTGTCGCCGAGCGCGCTGCTGGCAGAGCGGGACCAGCTGCGGCAGAGCTTGATGGATTTGGACGCTTGGAAGGGGGGGTTATGTTATGGCAATGGAAAAATGGTGGTTTTGTATGGTTTTGTGTGATGAAATTTGATGGATGTTGAAGAAGATGGAAAGGTGATTTGTATTAATCACTATTTTGGTGGGATTTAGTTTTCCTATTATTTGGCGGTTGCGACTTGCTATATAGAAATGGAAAATTCGTAATTTCATCATCAACAAAATAAGGATCGCATCACCAAAAATTTGAGTTTAAAGATCAAAACTGGTGGAATAGTGGGATGTAGTGGGATATACTTGATCCATCGAGGGCAATGGAAAAAGGATGAGTTTACCAACCAAAACTAGATGTTTAAGAAATAAAGACGCTGTTTTAAGCAATGTCAATGGAACATGGAGATTTAAACAACCCAAAATGAGGTTTAGGAAACAACAACCGATATTTAACCAGCTATGCCAATAGAAAAAGGATGCAGCACGCGCTTAGCCGGCAAATTAATTATCCCGGCAAGAGACCCCAAACAGCGCGGGGGGTGGGAGGATAATGTATGATAAATTTGATGATGCTGATGATGATCATGATGATGATGAGGGTGATGAGGGTGATGAGGATTATACGGTTGCGGACGGTGATGTTGAGGATGATGATGTTGAGGATGATGGGATGCAGGATGATGATGTTGAGGATGATGAGGTGGAGGATGATGATATCGAGGATGATGTTGATGAGGATGAGAATGAGGATGATACTGCGGAAGATGCGGTGGAGGATGATAAGGTGGAGGATGATGATGTTGAGAAGGAGGAAGATGATGATGTTGCGGAAGATGGGGTAGAGGTTGATGATGTTGAGGATGATGAGGTCAAGGGGGAGGAAGATGATGGCGTTGAGGAGGAGGAGGAAGATGATGCTGAGGAGGAGGACCGATCCCAAGAGTGGGACCTACACTTTGTGCGAGCCTGCGCAGTCGAAATGCACTTGGACATGTCACATGCGAGAATTCACAGATAAAATGCCGCAGGCCAAGACCGCGGACCACACCTTGTGCGAGCCTGCGTAATCGAAATGCACTTGGGCATTTCACAAAAACCATATCGCATATCGATGCATATCGCGCGAGAATTTACGGGAAAAATGTAGGGGCCCACAATCGCGACCGTCGGTTTGTGCGAGCTTGCGCGGTCGAAACGCACTTGGGCGTTTCACAAGAGCCATTTTGCGCGAGAGTTTATATGAAAAATGCCGGGGCCCACAATCGCGACCACCCTGATGAAGCACCGGCCTTTACACTTACCGTAAGAAAACTTCAGTGTGGACACGCTGTTTAGGGAAAAGTAATATCCTCCGAAGTGTCAAATTTCGTAGATTATGGATGGCTATGGTTTGCCCTGGTCTTGCTTGCGTCGTAGGAATAGTGTTTAAAACCAACAGTAAAAGATCCTCGGCGTGGTTTTCAATAGAATGAAAATGGTATTGGAGATTGTACGGGTATGGTTTGGCAGCATGGCCTGCTGCACGTAATGACGAAATCATAAAATCATTGAATTGGCATCATTCGTTGGTGGGCCCCCAAGGCTTAAGATTGTCAAGTGCTATCCCGTTCATAAAATTCCGAAGGACAATTGCACCAACGGTTCAAACATACAGAAATTATAGAGAACAATCATTTTAGCAATCCTTGAACTTGCGTGCCCCTTAGGGGTTGCCCGTTGCAGCTTTACCGCCAACACGTTGGGATCCAGGAAACGAAGGTGGCCGATTTGGAGGGTAGCCGATTTGAACCACCAGAGCTGGAGGAGTGGGTGGTGCCAGCGGCACATTATCATTATATTTCTACATGTTTTGACAATGATTTGATTAATTTTTCAGTGGAAAATTATCAACATGTAAATGTTATATCATTATATGATCATGAAATTTCTGGAAACAGTGACGGATGTATATTATATTTCAATCACTCGCACTTGATTTTTGCCAATTCCAACCAATCATTTTTTTTGGACCCGAAGGCGTCAGTCAGTCAATCCTCCCATTTTTGGATTGTACACCCGTCAAGCGAACTTAGTTCTGTTTGGTCAAACCACCTTTTACCAAATAACGATCAACAATCATTTTTTTTCTACGTATTTTTTTTGATGTTTGAAAGGGATTGTGCTGGGTAACTTGTGAAAATTACATATAAATTCGTATAAACAACTGTTTTGCGCCAGGAATTGCAGCTCCTCTGCAGCACTTTGGAGTCCCAGAAGCGCAGCCTGGAGCAGGAGCTGCTACAGTTGCGCGAGGCCGCGCCTGCGGCGCCCGAAGAGGTCAGTGGGATGAGCGTTTTGAGCGCCACGGAGCGGGAGCAGTCGGAGAAGATCGAGACCTTGGAAATGGAGAACTCCAAACTGCAGCTGGCTGCAGGACTTGCAAAAACCAGAACTGGGAATGGATGATGTTTTTTTCTCAAAAAAAACTTATGGTAGAATTGGGATGGGTTCATTCATGGATGTTTATCCTTGGGTTATTGATGTTGTTGGGGTATACTACTCAACTCCAATCACCCGATATAGTTTTTAATTCCGCCTAAATTGACACCCAAAATGATTGGATCCAATGCCAAACCAAGGGGTGAGTTAAGGGTTGTGTTGGCTAGCCGTTTTTCTCTCCGCGATTTTTTACTGGGATTGGATTAAGAACATATTTGGAGGGAATTTTGCCATTGTTGTACCCAGCAGAGTAGTGGATCTTGATTGTTTGACTGGTGTAAACAGCCCAGGTGGCGATATAAGATGTGTATCAAGTGGTCCATTACCCGTGGATTGATGATGTCCAATATGAAAGCTTACCTCGCAAATACCATAGATGGAAAACTCTTGGTTTTGTCAATCTGGGGTTGCCATTTGCTGGTGGTTGTCGATCCCAAAAGCGTGATGATGTGGGCATCACTGAGGCAAGATGATCTTTTCAGGCAGAGGGATGATCATTCCAGGGTCGAAGCAGAGTTGCAGCTCGAGAAAGGCAGGCTGCGGGAGTTGCAGGAACAGCTGGGTCTCCTCAAAGCGGAATATGAGGAGAAATTCCAGACCCTGGACTCTGAGAAGGCTTGGAATGAAATTGACATCCCCTGGATTGATACATCCTGGGTGATTGATACGCAATGGGTGATTGATTGGAGGGGTGCCATCAAAGATTGACAATCTGTTACGAAAATTGTACCTCCACAATAAGAGAGCCAAAGGCTCAATTGATCCAGGTTTGACATGAATGGTTTTAGGGCAACAGTTATTCCTAAACCCCTTCAAGGCTCACATTGAGGTGGAAGCTCCCAGCTTGGGTGCCGATGTGGACTTTGCAAGACTTAACTTCTTGGAACTGCAGAACTCCAAGCTGCAAGACGATTTCATCCGGGAAAAGCGGGACCGTTCACGACTGGAAGCCGAGTTGGAGATGGAGAGGGGGGAACTCGATGAGCTTCAGGAACGCTTCGCGGCGCTGCAGGCAGCCTATGATGAAAGATCGGCCGAACCTGTGTCTCAGCAGGCGTGGAACTGAGACACTGAGACAAGTAATTCTTCGTCGGATTGTATGACGCTCTTGACTGATGTACCATAATGCCATAATCGGGCATGGGATTAAGAGAACACAAAAACACATGACAGATAATGACAACCACACAGAATTCGAACATGCAGGTGAAGACTGTCAATCAAAAAATACCGTGCCTTGCGGTCTTAAAAAGTACGCTGATTGGCCACTCCGCCCTGAACAAGATTACTCCTCTTCAAGTAAACAAGAGCCCCACTGTTCAGAGTTTGTGGGGCAATCGCTGGATGCTTGAGTTGTTCCATGTGCCACACTAAAACCCTGTCAACATATTTCACTTGTATTCCGAGGGTTTTTATCTACATGGGATGCCCGGGATCCGTTCAGTTTTTTTGAAAATGGATATTTCCTGAAATGGTGGTACCCCCAAATTATCTATTTTAATAGGATTTTCCAATATAAACCTCCATTTTTGGGTATCCCCATTTATGGAAACCTCCCAAAAAATCACTTGAGGGCAACCCTGAGGATGTTCCCAGCGCTGCGATCGACATTTTGGAACTGGAGAACTCCAAGCTGCGTGAGGATCGTGCTCGGCTGGAGGCCGAATTGGAGACCGAGAGGGGCGAACTGAATCAGCTGCAGGAGCGATTCATCCAACTGCAGCTGGAGAGGTTCCAAACCTCTGATGAGAAGGCACTGGGATGATGATTGGCTATGATTGGCCCATGGGTCATGGGATTTTGATGCTCAAAAACCAGCTACTTCACTTGGGAAATGCTGGATTCATTGTGATTGATTTTTCCCATCGTTGGAAATAGGTACTTCCAGTATTTTCATGTATTTCCAGCATTTCGTATTGGGGTGTGGCTTTGGAAATAATCCCTTCACACCCAGAAACCCTGATTTAGTATTGGAGTTGTTTTTTGAACAACTACCCATGACAATATTGTTGTTATGGAGCATTTCAGCAAACACACATGACATACTCAAATTCAGGTCGTAAACCATGGAATCACCATCATTTCATGAGCCCCATCGCGTCAGGCTGCGCCCACGTTGGAAGCATCCAGCATGGAGGTAGCTTGATGGAGGGAGGGACGCAAGAGGATGGGGTGGCATTCTTCATGAATTGGTTGATTTAGATTGATTTAGATTGATTTATATAGATTGACTTAGATTTAGTCTGTATGGAATTGTTGGGGTTTATATAGATGCTTTTGTGAGATGTTCCTGCGCATCCATTAAATCATATTCCCTTTTTATTTGATATGATAAATTCCAAGTATATTCATTTCTAACTGTGTGTGTATATATATATACATAGGTCATAGGTATCACCATATATTTATACATATTCATGTTGCTGCTGGTCATTTTACATTCCCATTTGTTGCACCCCTTTCCATGGCATCCCATGGCATTGTTGGCTCGCCACCCAAAAGGACAGAATCCAGGAGCTTGAGGCTGAGAATCGCCGCCTGCAGCTTGGCTGTGGAACTGTTGGGGCAACCAACGAATGTATGGGAAAATATGGAGCGTTCTTCAAATGGTGAATCCCCAAGTCACAATGGTTTCATGGTTGTTTCAATACTCAGTCATGGTCATGACTTGAATGATTTGGGGATGCACCCATTTTAGGACACCTCCAAATGGCCACATAGGATAAATTGTTTTTTCCATGCGAAATGGAGTATACCTCACTTGATAGTCATATCTCAATGGGAAAGCAAGGTTTGAATCGATTTGGAATTTTGAGGTATATATCTATCCGATCTATCCCATTGTGTATCACAGAACCATATGGATCCATATCCATATCCAGCACTGGTTAAGTCCTTATTTTGGCTGGTGGAATTCCCATTGGTTCCGAAAACCCCAGGTGTTTCCGAAAACCCAGGGTACAGGAGATGCAGCAGGGCCTTGCGGAGCAGTTGGCCACCAAAGTGCTGAGAGAAGCTGAGGAGCAAATCTTGGGTGCCTGCAGAAATGAAGAATTAGGAAGTACATCACATACATCACATACCTCCATCATAGAAGATATTCAGCCACCATTTGTATACCCCGACTTCTATTTGTTTGGTTGATATGTTTGCGAATGATTGAAGGCGACAAAAGATAGATTTAAACTGATTTAATTATACTATAAGGAAGGCAAAACACTTCGTTTTGTCCGAGGCACTCAAAATACTGTAAATTATGGGTTATTCTGGCATTCTTGAAAAGCACAGTTCTGGGACCTGTGCGACATTGCACATGTCATTTGAACCCGGTCATACTAAAGCCGTAAAACCCTAAAAAGATAAACCATGCACCCTAAATGTAAATCCAATTGCTCCATTCTCCATTCTTTCACATGGAGCTTGATGTTCAGCAGAAAGCCAAGCGCCTCAGGACGAGTTGAAGCACCAGGCGCATTTGCCCGGCTTTGATGGGTTCCAACCAGCAAAGATGGTGATCTTTACAATCCCATCCCCCTAATATTAAACACAGCCTAAGTGGGTCCCAATATGTGTAAATCCCCTACTAAACCATGGTTTGGGACGGGGTGTTTACTATTTCTCGGGGAAGCGATTAGCCATAGACCATGGCATCCCATCACCGGGACGTCCCCATGAAGCTGCCAGGCAGGTCCTCCATCGCCGTCACGAGCTTCTGCCAGCAAAATAAAGCCACCTGAAACTGCTGAGTCTCTCGGCTTGACGGACCTGGAAGGGCGAGGTGGGATGCCTTCGTTTCCAATCGGTGATATGTTTGATGGAGACATATTTTGGACATTTTGACTCATGAACCGGGGATCCTGTAGTGGAATTTGGAAGGAGAAGGCAAGGTGAAAGGACATTGTCAGGAAGACATCACAACTCCGGCTCCCATGAACATGTCCGACTGAGGCTGCTTGCAATTGCAACTCAGCTGGGCTAGTGGGGTGGCTGTGGCTATTCACAGCAGAGATAGTCCGCCATGGTATAGCCTCTTCACAGATTTCGATAGCTTTTGGATGGGGGTTTCCAGATTCCAACAATTTCAACTTCAAACCCATTTTCTGTTAACCATTGCCAACATGGAGAAACCACTCTTCACAAACTTCCCATTTCTTCACCGATTTTGTTTCCACCTAACAGTTCTTGGTTGGAATAGGCCTCTAAGCCTTGCCTCCCAGGACAGTCCAGGCATGTATGCACCGCAGCTGCAGGGGATGGGGCTTCAGCCTGGTTCAGCTGGGTGGATTCCCAAAACAGCCCATATTTGGAGGTGAACCCCATGATGGATCCAATTGGATCCAATTGGCTTGAGCTAGAGCCCATCCGATCCTCGTTTTTTTTTTTCAAAATTTCAAATCCATAGAATTGGGAGGTTCATCTTCCAACCTGGCTTGTCGATCGCCCCAAAGGTCGTCTCGCAAACAGTCACCCTCACCGTGGGACCTGAGAAGGGCTCCGCGAAGATTCAGAACCTCAATGTGCCTCGCAACCGCGTGTCGTTTTCGATGGTTGATGCCAGGGAGCCCACTATAGCCCACTGGCTTGGGAAAATGGACCATTATGAAATGGTGAGATGGTAAACTTCAAGGTTCACTTATCGCAACATCGATTTGCGATCAAAACTGAAAATGACCACTACCCAGAAACTTCAAGCAACAACTTTCAAACAATTGGAGGTACCAGGTACTTTGGCTCTTCCAAAATGACGTTTTGAACCCCCCCTGAGCCAGCGGCACTGGTTGGAACATGCAACGGCGAAGACACCGAGGCTGGAACCGTGATCCAGATCTTGGAGGTGATTCACAGGTTGGAGGATCGACGTGTGCGTGGCAGGCGGGTGCGCCAGGGGTGGATTTTGGCAGATTTTTACTTGATTGCTGGATGTGAAAATATGTGAAAATAGCTTTGAAGAAGAACAAAATTATTGATCAGAGGTTTAGTTCAAATTAAAAAAAACAGCAGACTTCATCGGTTTTTGTTTAGCATGAATATATATATATATATCTGTATATATATATATATATATCTGTATATATATATGTATACATATACCAACATACCATACACATAGATAGTCTGTTAGATTTGCCCCGACAATTGGTTTGGCACCTCGACCCAGTCCAACATTGTGGCAGGGTTGAGGAGCCGGCCGGCTGGATCTCTATTGTGGGCACAGAGGAGAGCTGAATTTACTGCAAGAAGTGCCAGATCATCCTTTTTTGATTCACAACTGGGGTCAATCCCACCAAAATACCATAAAATACCTATCAAGACATCACCGTGGACAATTTTTTGGCCGGGACTCGGGACTGCCGTTTCCCACCCCAACCCCAGCAACCCCAAGCCGTTGCTCCACTGCGCCAGGACTCCAACCGTTGGGCTGTGCGCGACTTGCCACGAAGCAACGGCTGGGTCTGTGGCATGGCGAAGCAAATCCAGAGCCTGCAGCGGGAGCTGGACGTCCTTCAGGCAGTGGTGCGATGGATGTTGTTGCACCAGCTATTGCTGCCATTTTGTGATACTTTGGAATACAGTATCTCTTTATATCCCTTTAGATTTATAGTTTTATAGATCTTTATTTTCTAGAACTCCTTGTGGATTCCCAGTATGTTCATTGATTTTCCATACCCAGCCCATCCGCATCATCCGCTCCGAGGCCTCTACCTCCGAGGCGCAACAGGCGCAGGAGTCGGTGGCCGCGGAGGTCTCCCGGAGTCGCCAGGACTTGGCCACGGCGCAGGCCGAGGCCGCGGAGGATCTGGGGCGCCGGGAGCGCGAGGTGCACGCGCTACGCGAGAAGCAACGAAGCTTGGGAGAAACGTTTTTTTTTTTTTGGGGGGGGGAGTTTCTGGGATTTTTGTTCTCAGATGGATTTGGAATGAATTTTTGGATGATATACCTTGAAGTATTTATAATAGTAATTTTATAGTGACCAGTGTTGGGGAAAAGGTGGAAATATGGAGTGCTGTGTAAGATTTCCTTTGCGAGGGGAACTAACGAAGAAAAGATTGAGATGCTTTAAGCTTTGAGTTGGAAGTTATGAGCTATTAAATGGGTACTGTTTACACAGCAACCACTAAAATGGAAAGTTGAACCTGGAAATTGCGAGGTGCTGATACTGTTCTTATCATTACTTATCATCGATATATTGGAAATAGCCACCAAGATCTACCAAAGTATCTCTTTTAGGGCCCCTGGCACCCCAAAATGGATGGAAAACTTGAACATTTGGGAATTATGAAGGAAGTACCATGTGGCACCTTTTATGGGCTGATTGGAATTCATTATTGGCCCATAGCAATTTTCATCGGAAGGATGCGCCGCTACCCGATACAACATGCAAGTTTGGTATAGCTGGCTGGACATGTAGATGGTCAAATCGGTATAGGATTTGTGACGAACAATTCTGAACTGTAGCTTTTCGAAGTGAATTTTTGTTTGAGTTTGGATTGTGAAGGGGAGTCTTTGCAGAGTGTGTTTATTTTTGAAGGTTGCCTGTGTGCTTCCTTTTAAGGAGACTTCACTTCTCCTCCATGTGCTAAAGCCAAGAATGAACTGCATCTCATTCCGCATCCAAAAAATGGCTTGAACAAATTAAGGCAATCACATAGTTTTCCACATTGGTCACTAGACAATTGCCACCGCGACACATACTGCGAATGCGCCTGGGTCAAGAGCTAGCCACCTTCCCCTGCCACCCTGGACACTCAGAGCCCAGGACAGTTGGAGTTGCAACTGCATCAGGCGCAGCTGCAGAGCGACTCTCCAGGCGCGATACGATTTTCCAAATTCCAAGTTTTGGAGCATGTTTTGCACCTTGTGTGGATCCTTTTGGCAGACAACTGTATGCAATCACTCTTGGTGTCCGATTGCCACCCCCTTCATTTCCACCCTCCCATCCCAGGCATCTACGTCCTCTCCGGCGACGTGGACGTCTGCGCGGACGTCTGCCGCCACTCGGCCAAGGTGGGGCGCCTCCCGGGCGGCCGCGAGGTGCCAATTTTGGAGGTCCAGCACCGGGAGGGCGACAAACGCGTCCGCGGCCGCGTGGCGCTGAGCGATGGCGCCGGCCTCGAAGGGTGGATCTCGCTGCTGGACATTGGCAGCGGGCACCGCTGGGCGCAGCGGCAGCTGGGGGCCACCACGGAGTGGATTCGTGACTTGGTGTTGGGGGGACTTGGGTGAAAGGTGGTGAAACCACATGATGAGTGTAGGGATACTGGCTGTGCCAGTTAGTAGTTGGGAGTGGTTCAGGTGCGGTTCCTATATTTATATACATGTAACGGGATGGGAAGTTGGGGGGATGGGAATGGATTTTCATTGCGAAATATTGCGAAAAAAAATCCGGCCCATTTGTAGCCCATTAGTTGAAATCCACAGCAATATTATTAGTTGTCTCCCCATTTCTGCAAGGCAAGCCACCTTTTTCTGCATCCCTTTTTGCTGGTTAAATCCAACTGTTTTGGATCACTGTGGCTATTCCATTTGGGGGCCATTGTGCCATCTATTTAAGGCGAGCTGATGGCAGGTTCTCAGGGAGAGGCGCGTTTTGGGATATAGGGCCAATAGGGATCACACATTGTTGCGTCGCCTGGGAATTGAGGCAAAAGCGCTCTGAAATATCATTGATGGTAAAAGTAAGCATCTTTCAACATTTACGTCAGATGTTGCATAGAAAATTGTTCAGGGGTGCAAGAGTTAAGAACGTAAGTTGTCGAATTTTCTCCAACAAGTCCTGGATCAGATGTGTTGCCACGCAGCTGGCTGAATCACATGGAAGATTTGTCAGGGCGGAAGGTGTTAATGACAGACATCGGGGGCTTCATCCAAGACTCCAAAAGGAATCAGAAAAGTCACAAAAGGTGATGCTTGGGCAGCATCATTCAGCTATGAGATGCCTCATATGCCCAAAGTACTGGTAGAAACCAACAAGCATTGGTCCAATAAAGCAACCGAAGTGGATTGAACAAGGGAGAAGCTGGTGAACAAGTTTAGTGGGTAGCCCGTTTCCATGTTTAGATGGGGCATGGATCACAGAACGACTTGGAAAATCATGTGACCTTCCACAACGACTTGCAGGGTAAGTTTCAAGGGACCACAATTTTGCGGCTTGGCATCCCACAAGATAACACCATCGGTCGCTGTGGAGCCTCTGGACAAGGTAGCAATGGCAGATTCTGAAAGGGAGCAAGCGAGCCTAAAGCACAACAGACCACATGAAGAAGTTATCAGTGGACATTCGTTAGGGGTGCTGGGGGCTGCATGACTCCTGATTTTTCTCCATGTAGAAAAACCAAGCAGGATGCAATGGTAGCACCATCACCAGCAATTAGCAACAACCATCCCCGACCCCCGATCTTCAGCATCCCAACCCAAAGAATATCCTGCAAGGTGCAGCGGGAGTTGCTGGAGCCTGGGCCCCGGGACAAGACACCATGGCCTGGCAGATGGACGAGAGTGACTGGAGAGAGGTAGCCATGTGGGGCTTCTCAAAATGGGGGATCCCCAAAACCGGTTGCAATACTCACATGATCTGATTTTGGATGATTTGGGGGTACAGCCATTTTAGGAAACCTCCATGTGGTGAACGGTCCAATGGGATGCCTGGGTAGTTGCCCTCAGGTTGAGCAGCCACGGAGTTGCAGCTGGTGCACTCTCAGGTGAGGGTGGGAGAGGTAGCTTAGTAACTTAGTTTCTTGGGGGTTTGCAGCTTGAGCGGTGATTCACAATGACAGATTTTGCCAGCTGCAGCCGATAGCCGATGCAAGTGGGCAGTGATTGGCAGGAATGCTTTTGCAAACTGCACATCACTGCTTCGGGTGACATGGAAAGTAATGAAAGAAACCATTCGCATGCATCATCATGCATTGTTTTTTTTCTTTAAATGGAATTTTGGTTAAGTTAAGGGACAGTTTAGAGAACACCTTTTTTTGGGGGGGGCTGGGGGGGCACCAACTGGTTATCGTCCAGCTCTCGGAGGTGATACCTTGGAGCTGCAGGAGATCGTCCATGGGGCCATGGGGTTTTAGCTGCATGATTTTGATCACCATGTCTTGACCCGTAGACTGCAGGTTATATGTATTTATTATATATATATATATATTAACAATATATATATATATATTATATTATATGCACATGTTATATGACAAATCATTTGGAATACCAAGACTCATGCGTGATGTGAGTTATGTGATGGTTTTGATTTTAAGAATTTTGAACTTCGCCGCGGATCCCAGGAACTTCGCGGTAAGGTGCTGTTGTTGGAAGCCAACCGTGAAGAACTGAGCCTCCAGGCCTCAGTGGGGTGGTCTCCCCTACGAATGGTATGGGATGTATGGGTAAACCAATAAAATCTGGGATAATCTGGGATAATCTGGGATAATCTGGGACAACTAAGATATTAATGAGATAAGAGTGGGATAATCATGGATCATTTTAGGATAGCTATACCAAAACATGCCCAACTGGGGTTTATTACTACCCCCTGGGATGTGTTGTTTTGTTGTTTGATTCATTTAGCTATGTCTTTTTAAAATTGGTCGCTCATCCAAATTAGAAGCCAATTTTTTGGCCATTGCTCTTGATCATGTGTCATTCTGAATGTAAGGTAGAGGTATACTCAAGCCATTGCGATTTCGGATCGTAGTATTGTTTGTTCTGATCACTATATACTTCAGTAGGATCTTATTTTTCTATATTTTTATCTTTTTGGTGGTTTTGATATCCAAAAGGTACAACCAACCTCAAAATCAGGACACATTTCAGGTACTGTAGGTGAATCCTTGAAATGCAGCTAGATTATTATGTTCCCAATGAACCGCTGAATCCCAGTTCTGCTTGCGATAGCAGGCAGAGCTCTTGGGCACGAAATATGGAGCCCTTCAAGCGGAACATGAGGACTTGAGCCGAGACAACTGATGAAAACTCAGAACGTCCCACAACGATCCCCTGGAGATGGGGTTATACTCTCCAGAAAAAAGATGGTTGAGGATTTTCCATTGGAACATGCGGATAGATTGCCAATCTTGGCACGGTTGCCAGGGTTTTGGCAAAAAAAACGCCACTATGGTGAAGCAACAGCCACCAGTAACCAGAGCTTCCGGGAGAAAGTTACCCTCCAGTAAACTAACACAGCTATTTCCCTTCAATTACCAGAGGATAATTCATTTTAGATCATTTCAGATGTTGCCGGGTTTTCCTGCAGGAATTGCAGCAGTACCTCGCCGAGGTCCATGCGGATTCGGCCGCGGCCCGGGGACGCTCGTTACAGGTGCGATTTTTTTTGGGGGTTGGAAGACCCATCCCCGGGGAAAGCCTGGATGGGTAGTTTATAGTACTTAGATGTGCATAAACATATTTTTTGGCAGGAATTGATTGGGGGGATACGAGCCTAACATACCCAAGCGGCTCAAAATCAAAGTTTTGGCAAGGTATCTAAGATTAGACATGATCAAAAGCGGGGATTGAACTGTAAACAGAGGGTTTCAATGATTTAAGGAACTAGAACATGAGGAATTGGATGGCATCCAGGTAGTGGTAGCTGATTCGTGACCATGATTGTAACTCTGATATTAAGGGGATATCCGGATATCCCGCTTATCTGTTGAGATTTTTAGTCTAAACTAAATCTATATAAGTATCCATTCTTCATTGGCGATATTGTCAAATCACAATTTTCCGGTCTACAATCCCATTAGAACATATTAAAACCCAGACTAAACCCAGGTGGAGATTCAACCATATATTCTAAATCCCATTAAAGTCCCATTCATCTCCCATAAAAGTACGATATCATATCCCATCAAAACGTTTTCAGTAGTCCAGTAGTACAGAATGATGACATTTTCAGGATTTTTCTGGTATCATACCATATATACATATATATATATCTATCCCATTTATATATTCCATATTTATATCCCATTTATCCCATTTCTATACCATTTATATCCCCGTAAAGTACCAACAATTCCCACCTTGGCATCTGCCAGGTGGTGGAGCTCCAGCGCCAGGTGAATGAGCACGTGCTGCAGCGGGGGCAGCTGGAAGCCGAGCTGGCCAGGTGCATTCGACACGGTTCAGATGTATTTTGGTAGTTTTTTTTTTTTTTAAAGAGGTTTTCACCGGCAACAATACGGGATGGATAGATAGATAAGATAAGATAAGATAAGATAAGATAAGATAAGATAGATAGATAGATAGATAGATAGATAGATAGATAGATAGATAGATACTATACACACATACACACACATGTAGACACACATGTGTATATATATATATAAATACTTATAGTTATTTAAGCATAGCTAGTTGGTAAATGATGGTTGGTTGATTATAGGCCAAAGGGATGATTGCAGAGGTGGAGAAATACATGAGCGATCACTGCGAAAAGTTTCTCCAGCTTGATGAACAACGAGTTGGTGATGCGTTCAACAATGGCACCCTCACTCGGTTTGGTCAGGTGTTGTCCAATCCATTGCAATGGACGAAACCATCTTCTAATGATGGTTTGTCCTACGTCACCTCAACATCAGAGGCTCATGGCAAGAACGCACTGCCAGTAGCCAAGAATGGCCTCACAATCTGGTTGGTAGATGATGCCACCGGAAGATGCAACGACAGAGTGCTTGAAGCCACGTGTTCGTATGCTCGAGTTAAAGTCAGCTTGCTACAACCATCACACGTGCACACTCTTGTGGAAGGGACACAATTCCAAGGTGCGCCACCCATCCTCACCATGAAGCACAAAGCGGACGCTGGCACCACGGTGCGCATGGTGGGCAGATGGTTCCCAAACAGCGAGGCGAACGCCCTGCTGCCGTCTGCGAGGCCTCTATACTGGTACACAAGGCAAGTGCAGACAAGGAGCATCGAGGCAACAGAGGTGGCGCCCGAAAAGCGACTGATCATGCCGTCGATTGCATCAAGCTCAGCTGATCCCAAGCCTGATAAGCAGGTTGCCGCCACAGGTGTTTATCATGTGAAGGCCGGCATAGTTGTGAGCGCTGGTATTCGGCTGGACACTGGCGCTGATAGGGTGCAATTTGACATGAGTGGCACACCTTCCACACAAGCTTCAACGTCAGCGATCCTGTCAATCGCTCGAGACGTGAAAACAAAACCAGTTGTCGCAGATGACTAGGTCAAGCAAGTCGCGTTGCAGCATTTCCAGACCGCTGACAAAACATCAGAGCCTCCAGATTACCTGTTGCAGGTGTTGCAAGACGTGCCTGAGGCAACATCGCTGGGATCCAGACTGCAACGCGGCATCACACTGCAGCAGTGTCTTGAGTGCATCACCGTACGCGAGAACTACAGGGTTGGCACTGCTGGATCACCACCAGGAGCAAAGTGTGAGGCCGACCTTCTCTATGTGGTCTCAACAACTGAGCGGAGAAGATCTGTTGAGGAGCAATTGCCAACACACTAACAGCTAAAGGTTCTTGATCTTGAAAAAGTGTACAACGACGTGGTGTCTTATGATAACAGAAGCCATATGGATGATTCTGCTCGGAGATGGCTGGATTTGATGATCAGACCATCGTTTGACAAGTGCGCGTCGAATGCCGATGAGGATCAAATCGCTAGCTTCCTGAGCTCAAGGGGCACGAACAATGTATGCATCGACGCAGTGGCAAGCGGCATTGCCCCCTCCTCACATTGACCACAGGCTTTCAATTTCCATGAGATGAGCAAGGCAGCCATATTCTCGAGAGTGACCCATTGCTTGTTGGGTCTGGCAGTTGCGAGGATGAGCTGTGCTGATTTTGACCAAGATCTGGAACCGGTCCCGGCCGGTTCCCAGCGCAATACACACGCATTGGCAACCGCGTTCATCTGGCATTTCAGAACTATCACAATGGGGTCCATGGTCGATGGGGTGTCAAGTCAGCAAATAAGAAAATGCAGGGCAGACTTCTTGCGCGCCAAGGACCAAATCTCTGCGCCAAACACTGTCAAAGAGTGGGTGAACAAATTCGCGCTGGACATGCACAGCATCACATCAGGGTGCACATCGCCTGACATGCTTGAAGAAAAACTGAAGCAATCCCTCCGATGTTTGCGCCTGTGGGATCCCACAATCGGGAGATATATCGAACCAATGCGTGACTACGAAGCAACCATGCTCGGAGCGGTGCAGCATTGGTGTGAGTACTACAGACTGGCAACAGAAGCGACAAATTTGCGGCGCCAGATGCTGCGCACGGCAAGAGAGAGTGTTGACTCTGCAGGGCTGCAACCTGAGTTGTCGGTTCCTTTGTCAAAAGCTGGCAAAAGCAAGAAAGTTCTTCACCTTGTTATGGATGATGACAACTCGTCTTGGACACAGGTTGATGCTGGTCTCATGAGAGCTTTCATGCTCTGGGCAACATCCGATTCTGAAGACAGAGAATTCGGAAAAGTTGTCATGCACTCGAACGCATACGTTCCATGTTTGGACACGAGTATCCAGGTGGACAAATTGCAGGGCGATGACAACGCAATGCAACGAATGGCTGATAGGCTACGAGAATTGTCCCAGGAGAACTACTTTGATGATGACATTTTTGCTGCCCTGCTTCAAAACATGGTGGTGACACTCTGTGACAAATCGCTACCAGCGAATGCGGTTCTCTCTGGCGGAGTTGGAATGGTGAAGCCAATGCACACGGCCAAAGATCTACAATCAGCGACCATGGAAGAACAGGAACATTTCAGAGTTTGGAGGCACGCTGAGAGAAACCCGGAGCAACTGTACAATGATCTCCTGGAATGTTATGCCTCATCACCTCATTTCAAATGCAGCACAGTGGACAGGCCGGTGCCAGTTGCGAAATGCTCAAGAGAAGTAACAGAAGATCACCTGCAATTCGCGATCAGAGTTCGTTCATCTTGGAGGAGAACCTGTCTGAAGGAATACCTGAGGAAAAATGATGATGCTATGCCGGAGGAAGACGTGCTCGCAATGTGCCTCGAAAAAGCGAAGACCATGAATGCTGGGGTGGCAAAGGTTTACATCACCTGGAATTCACTTTACGAGTACACCAGAATGAAATTGAGGAAAGAGAGGATGAGTGAAGATGTGACCCTCACACCAGAGATCCACTCCTATGATACCTTCATCACCGGACCCGGAGGCACAGGCAAGACTTATGCTGCCCTGAGAGAAGCAGTCGAATGGGTGGTGAATGTCCCAGATGCCACTGAGCCGAATGATAGGAACTCACAGGCCAAGATTAACTCAGCTCTGTGTGTCTGCAATGCCACAAGCCAGGGCGCACTTGAGCAAGGCATGTCCATCATTGGGCATCGCAATGACCGTGTCCAGTTTCTGGGGTCAAAAGTGTCATCAAAGCACACGGAGAATGAGTACTCGTCATCTGTGAGCCTTGACAAATGGCTCAGCTTGCCTCTATCCAATCCGGGAAAGTGCGTGACCATCAACGATGAAGCCTTTCTCACATCTGCCATTTACTCTGATTTTGGCTGTCTGGCACACGAGCTTGCTCTGCTTGAGAGCTCACTCACGAGTGACTTGCATGCTCCACAGAACCTGCTTAGGAACTTGCATGTTGGTGACGGTGATCAAATTTCGGCATTCAATGGGAAATGGCTGGGAACAGACCCTGCTTCCACATTGGCCAAAGACTTGCAAGCGGAAGCTCAAAAAGAGTTCAAGCTTGAGGAAGCAAGCCTCTATAGGAGCATGGGCATGCAACATGATGCCAGCACAAGCAGAAGGGTTCAAGAGACCAAAATGCACCGTTTTTCAGATGACTACATGTGGTTTCTGGCCCCACAATACCAGTCATGTGTGCATTTTGACGGCACATTCATTCAAAGGTATGATGAGCACCTCTACGACAACTACTTGGACAGAGTCTACCCAAACAAAAGTGAGCTCACCTTCAAGCACAAGGGCAAACACATTCACACTTTGAACGTTCTGGATGCAATGAACATCAAAGACATGCCGGAGGAAGACAGGAAATTGCTGCGGCCTTTCTTCTTCACGGCAGACACGCAAGTGCTCCTCGGGCAAATGGAGCGCAGAGGCACACCGGACTCACCCCCAAACTGTTCAGGGTCTGGAACACACCATCAAATTCAGGGGACAGGCAAGACCGCGCTGGTCGTTGCAACCCAGACACACTTTACCATCACCCAGAAGAAGCCTCCGCGAGGACAGTGGTGGACCTCAAAAGTGCGACAAGACTTGTCATGCCATCCGTCCAGCGCTTACATGCGAATGCAAGTACGCAAAGGCACTTCCAGCATCATGATAAATTGGGTTGTGGGGGACAGCAAGAAACTGGATGTGTACCACGAACACATGAAGAAATACACATCAGTGAGGCACCATGAAGTGCTGAACGCGAGGACACTTCCTGACAAACTGCGAGTGATTCTCGGGAAACCAGCACGCGACCCGAGAGGCTTAACCCCGGCACAGAAAATGCCAAGAGGGGCCACGAGCTCTGCCGACTTGGTTGCTGCTCAACTTTTTAGCGACAGGAGCAGTTCAGGGGTGTGGGCAACAGAGGTGTTGAAGCAGTTACGTGACACAGAGGTGACAAAAACCACCTCTGTCATTGGCGTTGCGATGGCAAATGCAGTGCAACTGCTGATCTGCGAAGACACTGAATGGTTGCCGCGCAAGATGGCGCAAGCAATCACTTCCTCAAGTGACTACATACTGGTGCGCTCTCAAATCGAGGTTGAAGCAAATGCTTTCTCAGGCGGGGACATTGCTTCAAGGCTGCGTTTGGCAACAATGGAAAAACCAGGGAGGGAGCTGCCCACTCCAGTACAAGCTGGCTTGATGACAAGTGCCATCGCGGTGCTCTTCAACAGACGAGAGATCCTGGACATTGATGTTTGGCTGGACTTGCACGTCGGCCGGACCAAGTTGGTCTGGCGAGCGGGTGGCCCAACCGAGGTATGAAAGCACATAAGTCTCACCCTGCATGTAATTAATGGCATCAAGTGCCATTTTGGCTCAAGCGCCCCCGGTCTCCCTCCTTCCGCGGGGGGGCGCATGGAGGAAACCATCCTCAGAGTTGGTGAGGTTTGCGTCAA